TTATAATCTAAGAGAATTGTCTTTGATTATCTTTTGTGCGGATTTAAGAACAAAAACAACATCAAATACAAAAAAAGCGTTGGATTTTATTCATTCTATGGAGTTCTTGGTCATTAACAATGCAAAACAGATGTATCGGATCATTTGTCAGTGCCTCTGATTCTCAACGAATGTTTAACAGTTCCTTCGCGAAATAAATATCTAGAAGGTTATTCGCTCTTTGTTATTTTCCTTATCAATCTTTTCTATTATTTTTCTTTTGTTTTTTAACAGAACGATAAGGTCTATCAAGGGCCCAGTTTTAAAGAATAATGGGAACTTCAGCTACATAAAACTATCCAAGCAATAATGTTCACAATGGAGTAATTTTACGAAGTTAATATTTATAGTAAATGAACCGTAGGAACGTAAATCAAAGGGGCCTTGATTTGAATGTCAATAAAATACTAAGTTTTTCATTTGTTTAATATAAATTTGTGATCATTATTATACTGCAAAAACTGTTTCGTGATCTTATATTTCTTGACTTCGTTACGGAAATCAAATTGCAGGTTCAAAATAACTTCACAGGAGAAGTCATTGAACAAAATTTTGAATGTCTGACGAAATAGAGGAGGTCAGGGAAGTTTTTCAAGCGCGGTTCATGCTAATGCATTATCAGCACTGCTATTTGATGGTTCTTGCATCACTATTCGACATACTTTCTTAAGTGAGAGAAAGACTGAGGTTGATGTGGGAGAACCATTCACTTGACAAACGACTAAGCTTTCAATTGCAGTTTTGAAAGCTTTTCTTACAACCCATGCTGTTTTATAACAAAGCCCTGGCCTTAAATGCAATCTGTTGTTTTCGCTATGTTTTCTCTTAAAGAATAATATGCATAATGAAGTATTGTCTGTTTCGGAAATCTAGCCACACTTTGTTCATTCTAAAGGTCGAAGCAGGACGAAAGATCTCTCTTTGGAAGAAACTAAATTAACAGCCGAAACCCAGATTTGGGGTCATGGGATATAGACGATAGCTAGCGACTCTATGCTAGTGCACAAAAATGTTCGTAATTTTTAGGTCAGTTGTTATATTTTCATGCCAACATTCACATGTTCTTCTCATCACACTTCAGGTAATAGATCTACGAAAATATCATAGCCAGGATAGACATAAACTCAACCAGTCTGGGCCATAAACAGTTTTGTCTATAACATGACGTCATGAATCATGACGTCACGGTCCAATTTTTAAAACTTAGGCTAGCACCAGATTTTAGCCCCGTATTTTTGTCTCTGATATCTATGGAGCTTGGGACCAGTTTACTTTATATAGCACAGAAAGAGCTTCGCGTCAATAGCAGTTTAAATGGCGTCGATTGAAATGTGTGGGAGAAATCACAATTTGAAGTTGAGCTGCGATGACTTATTTGGGACGGTTGAGGACAAACATGCTATCAATATCATTTAAATTTAAGGTATGTGTAATTCTTTTTCGGAAAAAAGAAAAAAATAATACGGTAAAATTCTATATATGTGCATCTCATTTATGAAAAAAGAAGTAGAGTGGAAGTTAGTTTAGTCCGCGTGCGCGGCACGGTTGTTGTTAGTTGTCTTAGGCCGTTATGGCGTCATGGAATCTGCCAGCTATTGATTTGTCAGTATTCCTAAAGGTCCTTTTGTTTTCCGTTTCAGCCCATGGATGATCTTATCTCCTTTTTGAGAAAAGTCTATCGACTTAATAATAAAGGACTGTCGATGAAGACGGTCTGATAAAAGCTTATTCAAAACTGAGCTTCCGGTTTAATTTAAAATAATATCGACCAGGACTCTGAGGAAATTCATCCCAGGAAATTGCAGATGACATTGAAGTTAATATGTTATTTCATCAGTCGCTACCTTCTACAAGGTGTCTTTTCAACATGTTATCAGAAAGGGATCGAGTCTGATTTTTTCTTGCGGATTTTTCATCGTGAACAAGACTGCGCTCATGTGAAGAAGTTAGAGGGCGCCTTTGTAATCAAGCAAACAATCAACCGGCGGCTAAAGCTGGTCGAAGTGTGTTCCTTGAAATTCTTACCACTTTTGATACGAAACATTTCTTTTAACATTCATGTGGAAATTTCAGATGAGATTGCAGTAAATATGTTATTTGATCGGTCACTACATTCCACGAGGTGTCTTTTAGACATCTCACCAGAATGGGATAAATTTAATAGCAAACACAGCGAGCAAAATATGTGTTCATGCAACATGTAGCGGGGTGCGAGAATAGAGATGACATGTCTGTCGAAAATGAGATTTGTAGTACAGTAATACAGAAATGAATAACAGAAATAAAGTAAATGATGTCTCTTGAAATTTTGAATTCTGTTCTGCCGTCTCCTTTGCAGTACAACAAGGCCGCCAAGAGAAAGCTAGCAAAGAAAAACTTCGTCTCAATCCTCCCTCGGTCACATCAATTTATTTTAGTTTTGTCTTGACCAATCGTATCAAAGGAAATGGTATAGACAAACGTCACGGAAACAAAACCCTCACAGGTAAACCAACAATACGTTGTGTATGAATTTAAATGTAATTGGTATGATGCGAATTATATAGGATGCATGAACCGTTACCCTCATATTGAGGAGCTCAAATATTGGTAACTATCTTAAGGACGAACACAATCGAAGACCACACAATCCTCACGAGCAATTTGCCATTGAAAGCAGTGCGCGAAAGTTCGTTCAATTTATGAGATGCCAATGGAAAAATAGACCCACTTTCATCGATTCTTGCAAATTGTTCATTCAATTATGTACATTTCGTTTTCTTCGATCTCAAAACATTCTTGAGGATTTAGTAACACACAGCCTTTCTAATCTTAACGTCACTCTCATCGTAATTTTACAAAAATTGAGACAATTTGTCGTTTTGCCGAAACTTGCCATAAAAATGTCATCTTTTTGTTCTGAACAAGTGGAAGACTTTAATTATACTGGCATTTGCATAACATAGTTATCGTTTAAAGAAAAAGTTGCTAAAACTTTTAGTTTATTATGATAAAAGAAAGTTATAACCTTATTTATACAAGCGCACAGGTGTTTTCTGCATTTTGACGATTAAAAACATCATTCAGCAATTATTAAACCGATAAATTTACTTTTGTTGTGGTCATAACAATGCTGAGAGTCTTAGCTTTTAATGGTCCGTTATAAATAAACGTTTTCAATGTGTTGTCGGTACGACGACAATTGTCGACCCAGAGATATGCATCGCTCTGTACCTTTTCAGAAATTGCTTGGAATTCCTTGGGACGGATACCGCTCAGGGGGTCACTAATCGACAACTAAAGAAACTTCTGTGATATAACGTGAAACCTAAACTAAGGTTGGTCAGGATGCTAAATGGAACTTTATATCCGGAAATTTGTGTATTCCTGTTGGCAATTATTGCGCTGAGTAAGTAAACCGCTTTGTTTTCGTTTGTTGTTTGTTTTGTCTTTGTCTTTCACCTTTTAACGATTCGCGTGAGAAAAAAAGTTACGTCGAATTCCATAGATTTGACTTTCCATCCTTTCAGAGCTAATAAGCCGGTTATGTTATTTCTCGAAGACCACAGCCCGAATGAAACCGCGAAAACAAATTAATCCAGCGCCCAGAGAAATGAAATATTGCTTATTCTTTGGGCTTAAAGGGTATAAACTGTGGGAAATTACCGAACTTGAACACAGGCGCTTGCTTTGCACATCCCGGCTCGAAAAAAAAAATTTAAAAAAGGAGGAATATAAAACAATTTAAACGTCTGTGGAAAGACTATAATTTCAGGTATCTGTATGAAGATGTAAACGGTGGGCGACGGATTAAAGATGACGTCATAATTTGTCGAAAAATCTACGGACCCCTGCCAGAAGCTCGTTGGAAAATGTTCGGAAAATTTCGAAAATTGCAAAAAATGTTTCACTGTTATTTTACAAAAGGTTCTCGGCTAACCGGAAACAGTTTACCTGGTACCTCAAGTTGTTTATCGGTCAGTTTGGAATACTACTAAATGAAAGATAATTGTTAAGCCCAGAAGCTCCAAACAAATTACTTTGTTCAGTCTTCTCCTGTTCTCCGAACTGAAATCTTAACATTATGAAAGAGGCTTATACCAGATCATGAGAAGGAAGTTGAGTCTTTCCCTACCCCCAGTTCCAAGGCTACATGGATAATTAATTAACTGCCCTGAATTTTTTTACGAACATAAATGGAAGAAACTGGCCTACAAGCTCTCGAAGGAGAAAAAATCAAAGATAAAACGTGAGTGCTCGATGAATGAAATACGAAATATTCCTGAAATCTTCGAAACTTTCCGAACATTTTTCGACGTGTTTTTGGCTGTTATTGTAATATTTGTTTAACATCATCGTTGATGTTTTAATTAATTATTGTTTTCTTCATGTTACTTTTATTGAGCGCCGTCCTCCTTCCTCCGTCCTCTTTTTACAAAATCCCATGGTAACAAAATTTTACACTCATATTATGTAAACGCGACTTATGCTTTCAGGGCATTACCTGTTCAATATAGATTTGTTTGATTTGTGTATTTCTTGGCATTTTAATATCACATAAGTCCAAGTTCTTAATTTCTGAATAACATCAAATGCCATTTGATCATTATTTCGATGGCTGTTATATTTTTTTATTTCCTCGCTGAGTATTTAATAACTTGCCAGGTACTCCGTTGTCAGCAAGACAGTAATTTATAACTGTGCACAAAGTTTAACTGTAGGCCTGATTTTGTTTAAACTCGAACAATAACTATTTTGTATGCGCCCAAAGGACTAAGGACTGGTTTAAGCCTACTGAACGTAAGTTTGAATTGTTTTGTTTTGCCTTTTTTCAAGTGATTCATAACTGTGTTTCAGCTCATAGGAATTCCTTTTCAGAAGCGTCCCCAGACATTCGGTGCTCGCTTAAGGCTCAGGTGAGTAGAGTATTCGAACCAACCAAAGATCAACAGTTGGGCACCTTATATGAATGTCCTTGTCCTATGGATAAAAACCACCATGATTGCGCGTCGATTAGTAATAACCGAGGGTGGACATTAAAATGTAAGAAATCCACAGAATGCTCTCCTAAAACCGCTACGTACTACAAATGTGATCTGGAAAGCACAGGCACAAAAAAATGTTGTGATGGCGATTTAACAATATATGGAGGTGAAGTACCTTCTACATTTACCTGCAAAGACAGAAGGTGTCCGCAGAACTACAAAAGCGGGAAAACTGGTAGGTATCACAAAAAGGCAGTAGCAACCCTAAATCCAAACAGTCAACAAATTTTGATTTTCTGCAAGTTTCTTAGGTGTATTGACTCAAAAATGATTACATTAAACTTTGTGAGTCTTCAACCTAGGAATAATTAACATTCTCGGAAACTAAAACCCAACGCCATGCCTTTATTAGGGCCTGGAACTTAAACTAACCCTCTCAGGCAAGTTCCTTGTCATGAAAAAGCACTTCGAGAGAGCAAGAAGCTCGTGAGAAAGTGAACAAGGGTTCTTGTATTAAAAGAAAAAAATTAAAGCAATCGTAGCCCAGCTAGAAACAGCATGGTTATTGAACCGAGCTAAAACCTAGTAGTGGCTAGAAATTGTTTAATATGTGTTACGCTAAAGATAACGTTTCTCACGAAAAGAAAGTTAATTGTTAAAGAAATAATAAATTATTATTTCAATATTCTAGTTTTGCAAAAACATTTAGCGACAGAAACTTAATTTACAGTCTGAGATGCTCCGTGACACAAGAATCCAAATAGCTAGGAAATCGTTCTATTATTAAAGAATAATAAATCTTAAAATGTCCCCTCCATAATCTTTCATAATACAGCTATATAGTTAGCAATAATATTTTACGGCTCCTGGTGGTATAAATTACACTTTGCAAGCTTTCTCAGTAACCTGAACTGAGCAACTCATTTCTACTTTTTCAAGTAAGTTATGCTTTAAAATATTTATCCGTCTTGACCTTGTTTGTTTAACACAATTTGTTTTAATTGATGTTTTTTTTCTTTTAATCACGATCAGTATCATCGTCATCAAAAGTACCATCGGCATCAAAATTATTATTAACATCCTCGTCATCAGCATCATCATCATCAGCAGCAGAAACAGTTTCTCTAACTTCTTCGGCATCAGTAGTTTCATGGGTAGTGACACTAATAACAACATTATCGCCATCAGCATTATCATCGCCAGTTTCTCCAACATCCTCCTTATCAATAGTGTTAAAAGTAGTAACGCCAATAGCAACATCATTGTCATTAGCATTATCGTCGGAAGTTGAAATGGTTTTTCCCACATCCTCGTCATCAATAGTATCAAGAGTGGTAACGCTAATAACAAAATCATCGTCATCAGCATTATCATCGCCAGAAGGAGAAGTTTCTCCAACATCGTGGTCATCAACAGTATTAAGAGTAGCAACGCCAATAGCAGCATCATCGTCAGCAGCAGAAATAGTTTCTTCAACATCTTTGTCATCATTAGTTTCAAGGGTAGGAACAATAATAACAACAACATCGTCAGCAAGATTCTCATCGGTAGCAGGAACAGTTTTTCCTTCATCTTCGTCATCAATATTATTATCAGTACAAAAATTATCCCCAGCATCATCTTCACAAATTTTATCATCAGAAGTAGCATTAACATCACTAACAACTTTGTCGTCAATAGTTTTATCGGCACCAAAGTTTTCACTTAAACCTTCGTCATTAATTGCATCATCGGCCACAATGTTCGCGTCATCATCAAAACTATCACCATCTTCAAATGTTTCATCAGGAAGATCATTATTATCAATACCATCCTCATCAGGTCTATCATCAACAGTATCATCATTCCTAGTGTCTCCGTCAGCAGCTGTAAAACCAACGCCAACATCATCACCATCACCAACACCAGAAACATTTCAAAAGCTGGTATTTTTTTCTTATCTATCTATCGTAACATAATTTTTTTCTCATTTTCCAAGCCTTTTTATGGTTTACATACCTCACTATCATTTTTCGGTCTCAGGCAAATGATGCTGTTTCAGAGCTCGATAGCCTAAATATCACCAGCAACAATTCCTTACAGGTATGTGGTTTCACCAATGATATAAAACGCCATCTTTTTAATCTAAAAGTGTAGCGAAAGAGCAGCTGCAAGCTTCGAATCGATTTGAAGGTGGTATAAAATATAATACGTAAGCGCAAAAATTTCCATGCAAAGATTAAATATCTTCTACCTTTAGTTGTAGAGTGATTAGTACTCGAAACGTTTTTGTAAGTGACCTTTTCCTTCCCTTATCTTAATGAAAAAAGCCTTACTCTCAGAGGAACAATTGAAAAACATATTTTATGACATCAGAAAGTCATATATATAGATTTGCCCAAAACGAGAAAATCTTCTGCGGTATCATTTATGCGATAGTTGTTGCTTTTAAACCGAAAGCGCCTCTTGATGCCTCATTTGCCAATTATCACAATGAATTGATTTACATCTCATTATGATGAATCTTAGAAAAGGTAAAAAAACTAAATAATGTGTACTTCATGGACTTACAGGAAGCTGCAAATGTGTTTGAAAACTTCACCACTAAATATCGGAAAACGACCCACGGAGAAGAACAGTCTGGAGTAGATGAACTCAGAACGGAGTCTATTTTTAAGGTGGCAGTCGCCTTCGAGAAAGTTGTTCTTAGCTATGGCAAATACCATCTAAGTGGAACAAAGAGTTCAAAAAGGATCGTTCGGGACAACATAAGTGAGTATTTACATGGCTGTCTATTCAGATTTGTGACAATCGATCATCTATTCAGTAGCTGTCTGACTAATCAAGAGAGTGAGTGACTGAGTAACTGACTAGTCGACTTACTGACTGACTGGCTGACAGTGACTGACTGTCTCTCTGAAGCTCTGGGAGATTGAATGACTAACTGATTTCATGACAGAAAAAAAGTCTGAATGAATTTGTTTGTTAATTTCATGAATCTGACCGTCACTTATATTAACATTAACTTTTTTTCCTTTCTTTCGAAAGTCCTTGGTATTCAAAAAGTTTATGGACAAAATGCAAGTAACTTCTATCTGGAGAAACACGAATGGCAAGCATCTATTAATATTTCCTCAGGGAATTTTGCCGACAATGGTTTGTATACATTGCCATTATATTTTTACATTCAATACCCGTTAATTCTTTGACTCATCAGTGTCTTATTGAATAATCATCAAAGTTAATTTGATTAACTCGTATCTGTATAGCATCTTCAAGAGAGTGCAATCATTGGAAACTTACATTAGCCCACATTTAACCTACCTGGAATTTTGTTCTGCTCTCTTTTAGGATCAGTAATAGTTGGGTGTGTGTACAAGGATCTACATGATTTAATCCAAAAAGGTCATGATAAAACAAGGTACGCGAATGGCTTAGATATCTGACATTAGCTGCTAGTAAGAAGATAGTTTTTATGCACTATAGACATAGTTTCGACAAAGTTTCTTTTTTAAATATTTATTTTCCAATCGTGCACCCCTCCGTCCATCTTCATAAAATAACCCATAGATGGAAAAGTGAAATAGTAGAAACGTGAAACGGTAAGTAGACCCCATCATTATTGTATATTTACCTTTCCTTTTTTCTTTTTCTGTCGCGCTGAAATAAACAAACGAAAGTGGACGAAGTAAAGAAAACTACCAGTCTCATTGCTTAATCACTTAAATGTCGGACTCGCAAGTACGTTTCGTTAAAAGAACCATAATGGGCGTGATGATCTAATCAAAGTGTGAGGCTCCCAGTCTGAGCTTCCCAAATTTAAGCCGGCGTAATATATTTAATGCATCCTAAAAATTAACTTTTATGGTCACATTAGTAAATTAAAGCTATTAGCCGGTCATTGCCCACACAGTGAACCAAAAACATGACCGCTGTTTATTTCCATTTTAATTGATATACTTGCATTGGCGTGCCTTGATGTGCTTTTCATTGAAGCTGAGCTGGCCAACGGGAACACGAGTGACACGTTTGGCTACGAGAAACTTGATGAGAGTAAAGCACGTTACCTGTCATTGGCGCTTCGCCGAAAGTTTGCTTCGCCGTCTTTTGAATCACAATGGGAGGCCATGCGTGTGAAATAAATTCTAAAGAGGGCAAAAGAAGGACCGTAATTAAGAGACTAAAAACACTGTCGAGTAACTTTATAATTTGACTCACTCTTGACATCGTTGATTCATATTATGGGACAGAATGTTGTATGTTTACGATTTTTTTGCGAGCGAGAGAGTAAGATTACTCTTCTCAAATTAATTAAAGGGGAGCAGAATTTTCTTATTAGTTTTTGGTCGATTTTGTTCGAACCGGCATCTCTTTCATAATCAGCAAACAGGTGTCCAGCAATCGAATGATCGATTGACAAAACTTTATAGTGAGTTCGATTATGTTCGACTGAGCTTGGCAATCGAACTATTGCATGCTGTTCGAATTGGTCGGATTTCCGAGCGTTCGAGTAGATAACTCTTGTATTTTGATCCATTGTAGTACTTCACAGGACGCAATGTGCTAACAGATGTTTCTCAAAGATATTCGAGACAATATTCTTTCGATGCATCTCATTGCGCTCTCAAGTTCAATGAAAACTTCCCTTTCCGAATTTTTTTTTTTTTTCATCCTGAATTCTTCGAGGTTCTTTTTTTTTGTTTTGTTTTATTTTCGATTCATTGATGTTGAAAAACTTTAATTCTTGAATTCTTCTTTTTTTTTTTTTTTTTTAAATTCATTGCTGTTGAAACACGTTTATTTGTTTGCTGCGTTGTTTGAATTGAGTTCAAGGCACGTGCTGAGCGCGTGACTAAGCGTATGACTGCCATTCGTTCGAAGTTTCGTAGCACTCTCGGGAACAAAGAGTCAGTCAAAAAATAACATTATTTCTCACTTTTGGTTTTGTTTACCCTCCCCCGTAAAACAATCAGCAAACAGGTGCTCGGCAATCGAATGAGCGATTGACAAAACTTTATTACGAGTTCGATTATGTTCGACTGAGTTTCGCAATCGAACTATTCCTATTCGAATTGGTCGGATTTCCGAACGTTCGATTAGATATCTCTTATATTTTGCTCCATTGTAGTACTTCAGAAGACGCAATGTGCTAACAGATGTTTCTCAAAGATATTCGAGACAATATTCTTACCATGTCTTTCACTACGCTTTCAAGTTCAATGAAAACTTCCCTTTCCGAATTTTCTTTTTTATCCTGAACTCTTCGAGGTTATTTTTTTTTCTATTATTATTATTATTTTTGTTTTCGATTCATTGCTGTTGAAAAAGTTTATTTCTTTACTGCGTTAATTTAATTGAATTCATTTTAAGGGATGTGACTGGCTGCCATTCGCTTGAGTTCCTTAACGGTATCGGAAACGAAGAGTCAGTCCCCCTTAAAATCGCCTTGGCCATCCGATGCAGCACATTTTCACAAGAACTTTTTGGCCGTTCATGGCTCTATGTTATAGTGATTTATGAATATCTTGGACATGTTGAGTTGTTTATGCGATCGATGCAATTCGTTTCCACGCTTTTTTGATTTTGTGCTTCTCCATATGAACCAAGTAATTGAAGTGTCTGCTTCAAATACTTAAAACTTGAAGATTTTTTTAGATATATGAAAATACATCTATTTGCACTGCGGTGGAGAGATGAGATTTAAGAGATCCATACTGAAACGATGCAAAATAGCACATTTTCACAAGAACCCATGACCTCTGCGATACTTTACCAATTGAGCTAACAAGCCAACTGGGAGCTGATCAATGAATTGGGTCCAAATAAACATCTAAGTGAATGAAGATTTTTTTAGATATATGAAAGTACATATATTTGCACTGCGGTGGAGAGATGAAATTTAAGAGATCCTCGCAACTAAGAACACTACTGAAACGAGTAGTTGTAAATAGGACCTGAAAAAAATTTCAGGTCCTATTTACAACTACTCTTAGCAACAACTTCACAACTTCCTATTTCAGGTCCTATTTACAACTACTCTTAGCAACAACTTTACAACTTCTTAGCTGCGAGGATCTCTTAAATTTCATCTCTCCACCGCAGTGCAAATATATGTATTTTCATATATCTAAAAAATCTTCATTCACTTGGATGTTTATTTGGACCCAATTCATTGACCAGCTCCCAGTTGGCTTGTTAGCTCAATTGGTAGAGCGCTGCACCGGTATCGTAGAGGTCATGGGTTCAAATCCCGTACGGGCCTGAAATTTTTTTCAGGTCCTATATACAACTACTCGTTTCAGTAGTGTTCTTAGCTGCGAGGATCTCTTAAATTTCATACTTAAAACTTGTTTGTGGCTAAATGTTTCATGCAACTTTGTTTTTGTGATCAGGAGGAAGTTGATAATTATAAAACATCGCTACGAGCTTCAGTTTTTAAAAATTGACCCCGTAGTATTACTGCAAGAGTGAGAGTACATTGACTGTGTAATTATTACTCATGCTTTACGTTAGTTAACACGCGTGCTGCACAATAGGTTACACGCTGGCGTGCTGTGTCCGGTCACATGCTAGCTTTTGTATTCGATGGTTGACATGCCTTGCGTGTTTGCATACTCACACTTCATTGCTCAACGGCGCACGCTCGATTGTTTGTAGTTTGTTATATGAAAGAATAGCATACATAAGCTCATTAAAGAGTGCTCTAGCGTGCTAAGCAAGCGTGTTATAGCCAGTTTCTTTTGTTTTCAAGTGGAATCGTGTTGAGAGCGTGCTATCACATTTGTCCCTTAAATCATATGGAGGGTCACATATGCTGTAATTTGTTTACTCGTTTAGGCATGTGGTAACTAGGATTATGATGGCTGCTATGGATCCCAAACAAGAAAAGTTACAAGAAAATGTAATCTTGAAGTTCAGGAACCTGAAGGTAATAACGAAAGCAAAGTCAAATTCATTCGGTTTAGTTTAGATCAGTTTCAGTTTCAATAAGTTCAGGCTCAGTTGATGCATCATTTCAAATGATTTAACTTGAATCTTCTTTCAGAATTACCCAAGTGAGAAGCATTGCATGTTCTGGAGTGGCCTCAACAATAGGTAAAACGGGAAAACAACTGACATCATCATGACACAAAATAAACCATTGTTCCATCCTTTTTTCTGAATTGATTGAATTTCTAATTGCAAAGAAGAATTAACATCATTCATCACAAGTTCGCGTAACGGTCCAACTGGTGGGAGTGGTCTTGAAAGGAAGTGTGATCTGTGGTTGTTGATAATAAAGAACGTTTCCTCAACAATAGCAGAAGTCTTATCGTTAATTTTTTTACAAGATACTAATGAAGGAACTGTACTTTGAGAGTTTACCTCGATTTCCTACACCGGTTATCACCCCAACTTACTCTTGTTTCGGAGTGATGAACTCAAAATCCATCAAAGCCAAAAGGCAAGCGTGACGTTAAAAGGCACAAATAACCAACAAATAACTTACCAACTCTGAATCCAGTCTTCAACCGGGTTAAGTGAACAATCCCAGTAAGTAGAATGAAAGCCATTTAATATTTCATCATATTAATTACCTATTACGTTAAGTATTTAATGGTTTAATTATCTCGTTATATTTTTCAGTCAAGATGGATTTTCGAAAGATGGATGTCATATAGTTGCATCCCAAAGCAACTCAGAAGAAACAGTCTGCAGCTGCAATCATTTGACTCATTTTGCTGTCTTAGTTGACTACAGAAATCACAGTGTGGTATTACGTTTTTCAATATTTTTTTAAGCATTGCTCGTATGTTCATTAAATTGATAAAGATGTTATTCCCTCTGTTTCTGATTTGTTACACAGCTGTCCCAGAAGGACGAAGATATCCTGGAGATTATCACCTACCTAGGATTAAGCCTTTCCATCATCGGAATGATTCTAACTATAATCATGTATTCCTTGTTCGCGTGAGTAATCAATGTCAAGTTTCTTATGCCTTTGATTGGTTGAAACTATCAAAGAAATATATAGAAATAACCGTGGTATATTTTTTCTTAAATTAGAGATGTTCATGAACCTATCCCTCAAATACGACTGAGTCTCGCGGCTTCGCTCGGTGCTGGTCAAATAAGCTTTTTCGCTGGAATGCACGCCATGGATAACCCAGTAAGTGACTTCTACTCACATTCACATTAATTAATCTTTTTGCTGGCCTCACTATCAACATTATCAGGACCTTTCTAAAAATATTTTGTTATCTATTGCGAATTTGAAATTTATTAAATGAAATTATTTTAAATTTTTAAAATTTATGAAGAACGAGAAAAGAAAAGAACAGGAAAATCGTTTTTTCCTTTTTTTGCAGGCCATTTGCATCACAGCAGCAGTTCTTACACAGTACTTCCTGATGACTGCTTTCTGCTGGATGCTAGTGGAAGGAATCTACTTTTACTTGTTTATTGTGAAAGTTTACAACATCAGCAATAGGTTGATAGTGTATCACATCATGGCATGGGGTATTCTCCTTTTATCTATAATTACTTTTCTCATTTTTAATGCTGATTTACCGTATTTTAAATCGGTTTATTCCTGATATGATTTCGCGCAAAGTTTGACCTCCCCCTTCTCTTTGTGTGTGAAGGTTTACCCGTCATTATGGTCATCACTTCTCTCAGCATCGCAATTGGAAAAGGAGGGATTCAAAGCTACACCAGCACTAAATAGTAAGAAACAAAGTTTTCGTTAACTTTACCTCCTGTTTAGCTTCCTCTCCATGTTTTGATTTATCTCTGATTTGGGTTTCCTTTTTTTTTTTATTTTTAAATCACGTATATTTGTTTTTCGTCTTGCGGAAACCTGTATTTTTGCTTTTTTTGCGAAGTTGTTCATTTCCTCTTTCGTTCTTTCTCTTGCACTCCTTTTCAGCCTTCAAATACCATATCTCATATCACTTTAATTCTCTTTTTCTTTTTTCTTTATGCAGCATAGCGCATTACTTGTCCACATTCCCCCTGATATTTTTTTTGTGCTTCCCTTTTGTTTTGTTCTATCGTCATTTTAGTTGTTCACAATTATGAGCTGTGATTTGATTTTCATTTGATTTGATTTGAGATTTTTTGCCAGTTTCTCGTTCCCTTAGCTTTGTCTTTCCTCTTTTCTTCTTTTTTAGTTGTTGGTTGTCGTCAACTTATGACTTGATCTGGATATTTGTTGCATTTCTGACGGCAACTGGAGTTGTAAGCTTAAACTCAGATTTTGCAATTTAATATCAAAACTGTAACTTTATCATAAGATACTTGACCTATAGCTCATTGCCGTTTTTTCCATTCTTTTATTCGTATTTATTTTTCATTTTATTTTGCTTTTATTTTTTTAGCTCGGCAGTTTTATACTCGCGCGTGTCACAAGGGAGTTGACCACATTGCCGCAAACAGGAGTCGACAAGATTCAGCGAGTCCGGTTAGATGGAGCGTTATATCGTTTCTTTTTTTGGTTAATTTTATCAAAAAGATTTTAATCGGGCAACTGTCCACTTCAGTAGCTGTTAGCTTATCCTGCAGACATCTTTTCTTTACTTGATGAAAACTGACATATAGATATACGAGACATTAAATGGCAAGCGAGGTGTGGTTTAAGGGTTGATATTAGCCACGGGAGAATCTAAGCTTCTAAGTTGAAGAAGGAGAGTTTAGTAAACTCACTATTTATTTTCCGATCGAGTCTTATTTTCCATTCTCCTGCCATGTTTGATAATGATGGGCAAGCCAAAATTTAAAGTGGAAAAGTGAGAAATCTAAAAACGGGCAACATGTTAAATGGGTCGCAGCAACATTTGCAGCGACATTTGCATATGTATCCTATGATTTTAAAATCATCTTGTAAAAGACCTGACAAGCTATCTATGTGCCAGGTTAAAACTTTCCAAAATAGCGTAAAATAAGGGTTCAGGGTTCCAAATAACTCCCCCCCCCCCCCCACCACCACGCACCAAAGTTGGGATAAGGGTGTGCTTGCTGTACGTCCGAGCGTCCGAGGGTACTATTTGCATGATTTTACATTTACTTATGACGATAACAGCTAAAGTGAGTTGAAAGCTGGAAAAACATTTGTCCTGTTGTAGACTTGGCATCAGAACATGTGTTCTAATGATTCCCCTTCTTGGCATCACGTGGTTGTTTGGTCTTCTCTCGCCTCTACACAAGGCTTTCACCTACATCTTCACCATTCTCAACTCTACTCAGGTTTGCTGTAAATTTCCTTGGTAAAATTAAGATAGCCTTGCTAATAAAAGTTAGAGCTTGAAGCCTCTAAACAAATGAAAAAAATCCTTCTATCAGTCAATCAATGTGGTAATGAGACCGTCAGTCTCTAGTCAGTCCTTCCTCCTATCCATCTATCAGTCATTCCTTCAGTTTTTTGATCATTTTGATAGCCGTTTAGCCAATGAATAATTTCATCGGTCAGTCAATCCCTCAACCGTCTGTTTTTCTCCCTTCATAAACTTACAAGTTAAGTTCAGCTGAGTTAATAACTACCCTGTTTCGCAAAGATCTCTTTACTTGTCATGATATTATATTTCAAACAAAAAAAAGACTTATTATCCATAATTATATTTGTATTGTAGGGTGTCCTGATTTTCATCCTGCACTGTATGAGAAACAGTCAGGTAAGATCGAAACTAAAAAAAATTATCTTAACATTGTGCAAATCATGACAGAATGTGGCCTACTTGAATAACCAGATTTTAGAACTCAGCAACTGATTCATGTTACCTTATATTTTATTAACAGATAAGGGAGCGATTGCGAGGCAAAATTAAAATATTGAAGATTGGTCTGATTAGAGCTCGAATGAAAGTTCGAATGAACGCTGTTTCCCCATCTCCAAACAACAGAAACTCAACCAAAAAGAATGTAAAGATGAATCCAACTGATGGTGGTGCAGTGTGGGCAACTAAGTTGCACCCATTCAGCGAATATGAGTTGAAATAGGAATATCATTAACTAATGGATTCAATAGGCGGCGGGTAAAAGCCGATTGTTATGTTCCAAGGTTTTTTTTAGCCACGATAATTCTCCAGTCGCAACTGATCAGTTTCCAATGTCCTTCTGCTTGGTTGGATTGTTTTTGTAAATTAGAAAAAAAAGTTAATAAGTCTTCATGAAGAGGTAGAGGCTGGTGACGTTTATTTATCAGAGTAATTAAGTGATCTGGCCTATCACAGTCTTAAACTGAGGTAACTTAGAGGATTAGGTCTGAGTGAATAGAATAGTTAACCACTCGGCAATTCAACATCGTTTATTCAGGTAAATATGTGAAAGCTAGATACTTTACTTGTATATGAATCGTAGCCAGATGCTAGATTACCTTCATTTTAGGATAGACTTGTAAACATTATTATACAGAACAAGACTCCGCCACGCTTTGAAAATCTTTAGGTTATTGTTATCGTTAGACAGGAAAATAAAATGCTATGAAAAAGAGAAGAAATTGACGGTTGTCTGTAACAAGAGTTTACCCAGATGCATTTATGCGAGATAAAACTATTCCTGGCTCCCACTCCTTGACATCAAAAAAGTTATTGCATTGCTAAAGTTATGTTGGGAAGAACGGTGCAAGGAGGGTACAAGATAATGGGGGCTGTTTCGTCTAAGAAACCATGTGACCGGGGTGGGCAGAACTCTACAGGTCAGGCGTTGCCAAAAAACGTTTGCTTACAAGATAAGGCGGCGTGAACGAAGGAAAAAGCCCCCTTTTGTATGCATTCGAGGTCATCTATTGCTTATTGAGGCGGCAAGGCTTGAAAAATCGGAACAGCATCGTAATTAGTACATCTTATCCAGCTGGTGTTAAAGCTTACTAGGTGGACCTTAAGACATTGGTGCATACTATTTAACCGGGGAAATACGGTGGAGTAGAACCTTTCTTTATCACCATCCAAGAAAGGTGGCTGGTAAAAATGTTTCTGAGTAACTTAGAATAACCCACAGCTAATGGCATTCTCCAATCACGGGGTGTGGTTTAAATTGTTCTTAGCGAAATATATTTGTATTAATGATCCTTCAAATATCTCTGCTCGCGTGACCGAATATCCCCCAGCTAAAATTGGGTGATATTCAAGAATATTATCTAAGCGATATTCCCCAATTTTTAAAGTCTACGTCCACTGTGATAAGTTTTCGTTTCAAAATTAAATCAAGATGAGAGAGGGTGTCTGGTCTAGAAGAAGGGAAATATTTTTTTGTTCATTAAGTCGTACCTGAGGATACCCAAAAGAAAACAAAAGAAAACATCCCGAAGTAAGCAGAGAAAATTTGTACGGATACCGGGAGCTGTTCGATGACATTATCTGTTCGAAGGTGGAAACAATTTTCGTGAGCGAAGCTCCAGGAAAACTGTTAGCCGAATAACCAAATTAAATAGAAGCTATAGTTTATATATACAGATATACCTTTGTCAAGGCAAAGTTGGAAGTTTTCCCTCTAAAATCTGTTCCTTTCGGAATAACATCCGTTACCGTTTTATTTTGGACATATTTCCGTGAGAGAACATGATGAGGAGCTAAATCGGTAACATAAGCTGGAGCCCGAATTTGGTGCTCTGAGGAAAGCACTGACGGGAAAGGCCCCATGATAGAAAGCCAGTTTAACTCTGTAAAAAAAAGTCAAATAGAGCATCTGCTATACAGCTGATAATACAAACTGGCGATTCTAAGGGTCTTAACTTACGAAATAAAATGGTTTGGTTCGCATAACAAACAAAGATCAATTCATAAGTAGAGTTCAGCCACTACATTTTATAACTGCCTGTAGAGGTTTTGTTAATCAGGTCGAAACACGAGGGAAGCAACCACAAGTAAACAAATTTTATCTTTGAAATAGCTTTTCAGTGAGTAGTCTTTGCCATAACCAGTTCGTATTGAGCTTATAACGATAATGTTTTGGAAAACCGAATCAAGGGGTTGTGCTATTCGGGAAAGGCAGCGGCCCAAATGAAGCAATATGGATTGTGTTTGTTGCAGTGGCTATAACAGTGAGGCAGACGGTGGCAGTTACAGTGCCGTAATGCTACTAATAATAATTTATTTATATAGCGCTATTTCTATCGCTATCCAATAATGCTTTATTATGACTGTAATGATCCAAAGTGCTTAAAAAACCCAACTGGCAGGAGGGAGATCAGTTAGCCATTTACACAGCGCACCCGAGGAGTTTAACTCGGAGCAACCGAGGAGGGTGGAGAACTTGAACCCAGGACCACCAGATTACAAGTCCAGCAGCCAAACCACTCGGCCACGCCGCCTGCCGTGACATCATTGGCTGTATGACCCAAGCAGAGTAGCTTAACGCTTATTGGTTAGGTCCCGATCCATTCGTAAAGGCAGGTCCTTGTGCAAGTTCCTTTTGCGTCATTCATTTCGTAAATGAAGCATGGTGTCGGTAAATGTCGATTTCTCTAGAATACTGAACACTGAGTAGAGTCGTGGTCTATGGTGTAGTTCCCCCTGTCATGGATTTTATCAGGATAGGTGGGTATTTTTTTTTTCTTAAAAAACGTAATTTGAAAAAGGAAATAGTAATACAGGCATTGCATGTTTGCTTTTATAGCTCGTTTTCATACCTTTTTTTCTTAGTTTAAGATAAGTAATAAATTATTATTATCAAATTATGGGGCGAACAAATAGCTTGAACCTCGCGAAATGTTATCGGAAATGATGTAGTTTTTACTAGAAATTAGAAAAACTGTAAATATTAAAATGCTCCACTCATTTCTAGTGACTTGGATTGGAATGCTTTAGACGATGACTTCACTGAAAACATACCAGAGGTTGACGAAAGTGTTAGCCCGGATACTTATGACAATGCAGAAGACCCCAGACTTCCACGTCTTCAAGGCGTTAGGAAAAGTCGCTGCCGCCGAAGTAGTTCTCGCCGTCGTCGTGGTTAGAAGCGAAGCTTAAGCATTTCAATCGGTATTTAACCAGAAAGCAAGTATAACTACGTAAAAATAGTATCCGCTGTTACCTCCGCACAGTAATTTGTCGAGATGACTACGTTTAAAAACTCTAATAATCTGAGGAAATTGCCTTTAGTTATGTTTTGTGCGGATTTGGTTACCGAATCAAATGGCAAGTTCAAAATAACTTCACAGGAGAAGTAACTGAACAAAATTTTGAATGTCTGACGAAATAGAGAAAGTCGGGAAGTTTTTCGAGCGCGGTTCATGCGCGATTCATGCTAATGCATTATCGGCCCAGCCATTTGATGATTCTTGCATCATTATTCGACATACTTTCCCAAGTGAGAGAAAGACTAAGTTTGATGTAGGAGAATCGTTCACTTAAAAAATTCTCGCCAGCATTGTGAAGCTTTCAATTGCAGTTTTGAAAGATTTTCTTACAAATTCATGCTGTTCTACAACAAAGCCTTGGCTTCAAATGTAATCTGTTGTTTTCGCTCTGTTTTCTCTTAAAGAAAAATGTGCATAATGAAGTATTGTCTTATTTGGTAATCTAGCCACACTTTGTTCATTCGCAAGGTCGAAGCAGGACGAAAGATCTCTCACTGGAAGAAACTAAATTAACAGCCGAAACCTATATTTGGGGTTATGGGAAAAAACGATAGCTAGCGACTCTATGCTAGTGCACGAAACGTTCGTAATTTTTATGTCAGATGTTATATATTCATGCTGACATTCACACGTTCTTCTCATCACACTTCAGGTAATAGATCTACCAAAATATTACAGCCAGGATAGATGAAACACGACGTCACGAAATTTGTGTAATTTTTTTCGGAAAAAAGACAAATATTACCGTGAAACTCCATATATGTTCTTCCCATTTATGAAAATAGAAGTAGAGTGAAAGTTTGTTTAGTCCGCGTGCACGGCCGTGGTTGTTGTGACAAGTTGTCTTATGTCGTTATGGTGTCATGGCTTGTGCCAACTATCGATTTCTCAGTACTCCGAAAGGTCCTTTTGTTTTCCGTTTAAGCCCATGGATGATCTTATCTCCTTCTTGAGAACAGACTATCGACTTAATGATAAAGGACTGTCGATTAAGACGGTCTGACAAAAGCTTATTCAAAACTGAGCTTTTTTCGGTTTAATTTAAAATGATATCGACCAGGACTCTGAGGAAATTAATCCTAGGAAAGTGCATACTTTTTTGCGGACATTTCATCGTGAACAAGACTATCCTTGTGTGAAAAAGCTGGAGGCCACCCTTCAAATCAAGCAAACAAACAACCGGCGGCTAAAGCTGGTCGAAGTGTGCTCCATGAAATTCTTACTAGTTTTGATACGAGACATTTCTTTTAACATTGATGTGGAAATTTTACATGAGATTGCAGTAAATGTTATTTGATCGGTCACTACCTTCCAAGAGGTGTCTTTTAGACATCTCACCGCAATGGGATAGAATTTAATAACAAAACACTGCGAGCAAAATATGTATTCGTGCAATACATAGCGGGGAGCGAGAATAGAGATGACATGTCTGTCGAAAATGAGATATATAGCACAGTAATACAGAAATTAATAACGGAAATAAAGTAAATGATGTCTCTGTAGCGGGAAAGAGCATATGTCGGCGACTGTTACGTTACGAGGACTGCTATAGAAACTAAAAAATATCCCTGACTAAGACTGGATAGGATGCTGAGAGGACATTTAACCCGGAAAATTTTTATTGCCTCGTTATTATATTTTATGCTGGGTAAGTATAGTCTAATTCTCTCAACTTTTAAGTGTTGCCATAAAAAAGGAAAGGTAGATGAAACCCGCCGATATAACTTTCGACTTTTTCAGGTTTTTTTTCTTTTCTTTTCTATTCTTTTCTTCTTTTTTTTTATTTTTAATTTTCAATTTTTTTATTTTTATTTTATTTTCAGCCCTGTCTTGTTACCCAAAGCCAAATATAACAGAAAAGATGGTTATTGATCAGCGCTCTGACAATAAAACTAGACTGACACGTTACTTTGTTCGATAATCTCTAAAAACGTGCTTTCAAAAAAGAAGGAAAAGGTATCCGAAAAATCTAACCGTTATATCTGGTTTGATGCTTTTGAATAATAATGACTGAAAAAAAAAGAGGTCATAATGGTATCTCCTGGAGGAGTTTATTGTAGTACTTAAATACGAAATTTCATCGGATGTTTATTCAGGGGTCAGTGGTTTACTGCGCATTTTGTTTGAGCTCCCTCGATGAAATCGTCCCCCCGCTCACGATCATCAAGGCAGGCAGGCAGAGCGCTAAAGTTTTTTTTTTTCCTTTTTCTTTTTTTTTTTTTTTTTCTCATTAATTTATATTCGTTGGACCTAGCGGGTAAGAAATATTTACCCTATATCAGAATTTGATGTTTTTTCATTTTATAATAATTTATTTATACTTCAAATTACTCTAAAAGTACTGCGAAAGCTTTGAGCTAGATGTGGTTATAAA